AGAGAGAGAGAGAGAGAGAGAGAGAGAGAGACGTCAAACAATACAACTCTATTATTAAGATTTGAGTGAATAAGTTGTGTTTTGGCTTTTATTAATGCAACGCTTAACTTATAGTTAATAGAGATATCATGTATTACTAAATTATAAATGAGATCCAAATTCAATGCAATTTATCTCAATGTAAGTTTCTATACAACAAAACATACAAATGAAAACTAATTAATATGTGAACGCAATCTTCTAACAAAACAAAAAACAACAAAATCTTAAACATTAATGTAATGTTTGTTTTAAAAAAGATTTAATAATTACTAAATATGAATAAATCTTACAATTTATCATTTTTTAAAGTAAACGTTGAAAAATAAAAATATATTCTCTAATCTTTCACTAATTATTCTTTAAGAATTTCATATAAAGTGAAGTATATTTTGTTTGCGATTACTTTTATAGCCATTTATTTGAGATCGTTAATTTCCATTAAATTTAAATAAATCCAAATTCCTCTGAAATTTATTATATATTTTTAAGCTATTTTACCGTTAAAATGGTTTTTCATTAAAAAATTACTGAATTTGTTAGAACCCAAGAAATGCTTTCATAATCTATACTTTAATCGATGAATATTTTTAAAAACTTTTCGCATAAGTATATCGTATATAAGAAGCTCTGAGAGAATTTAGCAGTTGTTTTGTGTATCACTTTAATATAAAAGCTTAAGCAACGCCTCGCGAAGTATGGAAAACGGTATGAATTGATTGTAATATTTTGAGTAAATGAATGACAGTATCCGTTGTTGTGTAGGCTTTAGGAGTCGACGAGCCCTTCAGCCGTGCAATTCTCACACATAAAACTCAATTCACTACACAATCAGCCGTTGAGTGAATAAATGAGCGAAGAGTCCTTTATAAACACTTTTTGGCTTATATTCTGTGCATTCACTCCAAAGGCTATATTTATTGAATAAAATATTTGCTTTAAATGCTTTAGTCATTAGATTCTGTCATTTCATATAACATTACGAAACCAAAGTCTATTCAATGCAGAAAAAACTTACCTAAACTATGCATTAAAATACTTTTTTGGTTTACAATACAAAGAATTCTTACAATTATTATCGTTAGGAATATTATTATACATAATAATTGCTAAAAGGGGTGTCTTTTTGTGTTGAAATGCTTACCAGAAACTGAATTAATACTATATTTATAATAGTAATTGATTGACACAAATAATATTTTGAAAATAACTTTATATAAAATCTTTTGGTTTTTCATTTGGAAATCAATAATTGAATAATTTATACATGTTTTGAAAGTTTAGGCACTAAAATCTCTAATAAAATTATCTTACATTTATCATATAATATAATATAATAACAATAATAATATTAATATCAATAGCAATAGTACTCTATTATTCTAGTCTTGACTTAGATCTCAAGCAAAGCCAGAGATCATGTTATGTAATGTGTTTTAATAGATAAGTCAAATACAATGCATCGCTTTTAATAATTTGAAATCAAATCGCAATCAATATTTTAAAACAAAAAATTTGTTGTAATTTGTTTTGTGCACAAAATAAGAAAAGACAGAATATTTTGATTTCTAAGGCATATTATGTTAAGCAACAAAAAATCGATATCACTTTTCAAATGCTATAAATGCTCAAACATTGGGTTACAGACAATCAGTCAAAACAAACTCAAATTTGAATAACTTTTCAATAGATAAGCGAAAATAATAAATTTGATAAGAATTCAGGAAAAGAAAAATCTATTAAATGTATATAATTTGTTTTGCCAATTGAATGTTATAAACACATACTGTACAGTAAGCATAATGCTATTTCTCATTTATAACCACTTATCCAGCACATTACCCTCACTTATCATGACAAATTTTAGAATAAATCTTCAAATAAATGTCTGACCAAACAATTGCACATATATTCTCATTAAAACCTAATTTATTACACTATTAATTGATTCAATAAGTTATAAGATTAGAAATATTTCTAATATGATTTTGTTAGACATAACTCGTATTCAGAGAATTAAAGCTTATTATATAACAAAGTATGTAATTATAACTTTCGTGTTATTTCATATAAAATTTTGATGAAAATTAAACAAAAAATTTAATAAGTTATTCAAAGTGTTAATTTGTTTTAACTATTTGTAAGTTTAGTAATTTTACAAATATTTTTATTTATATTAAATATACTGTATATATAGTTATCGCTCCAAATGTTAAATTATGTTTAAAATTATGTATAATTAAATTTATTATGTTTGAAAATATAATTTCATTAACACATTTCATTATATGAAAGAACATTTTTAGACATAAAATTGATGATAAAGTGATAATAATAATAACTTTACATATTATTTAAAATATCTATAAATTTACATTAAAATATTACAAATAAAATAACTATATTTTCAATTACTTAATGTGAATGTATTTATATAATAAATATGTTGTCAAGTATTGCAAAAAAGCAAATAAAATACTAATTATTTGAAAGAATTTAAATCTATAGTAGACTAATCAGATTCTGCCACTTCATCTCATATACTGTACAATCATTAACACTATATATGGATATTTTAAACGGGATAAATCTATTAATTATTTTAATACAATTAATTTTACTTAATTTCAACACACAATTTATGTGCTCTTATTGTTATAAATGTTAACAAATAATTTTTAAAAACATTTTCATTAATAGAAAGAGAAATCTAACGCTTCAATCAGTTTATATTTGTAATTAACATTAATTTTATATTGAATTACTATTGCATTATATCTTATTAGGAAATAATGTGAATATAAGAAGATTATAATTATGAGGGATTGTATGGATTGCAAGGAATGGCCAGAAGTGAAGGGTTGGACAAAATAGCGATGATTGTGACGGCAGGGCATCACTTCATAGTCTACCCTACGCTTGAATACACTGTAATTCTGTATTCATATGCTATTTAAATAACAACAACTGTTTGTCAAACACAACGTAAGTGTGTATTATTGTCGGGTCGTCTCTTCAAATGCATATCTACTTTCACATCCTTTGGCCAAAAATTAATACCATTAGCCATTCAATCAATCAATCATTTGTTATGAATCTTTAATCATGTGCTGATGTGTTGTCCAATTCTTGTCGTCCAACAAATTGACAAAATATTTGGCTTCATTTTCAAACGTGAAACGAGTTGTTTATTATCCAGACATCAATTTATCACAATCGTTGTGAACATTACATAATGGGCTCAAACCTCACTATATATTGGGATTAATGAATGACATCAACAATAATATTGCAAATAATCGTGTTATCAAAATTGGGGCAAAAGGGATCTAAAAAATCATTTGTTAGAATACACTAATGTTTACGCATTCTGTTTATATCAGAATATTCTGTGTAAATATAATTATATCACAAAATAAGTGATAAAAATATAAATCTACAAAATTCTAAGAAAAGATAGAATTCTTTTATATATAACAATGAATTGATATATAATTTTGCAATAATTCAATATAAGAGTTATTAAATAGATATCAATCAAAATCTAAGCACACGATTAACTTCTCATTTTGACTAATAAATTATATCTTACTCTTAAGTCTATCACAAAGAGAGCTATATTTTAAACAGTTATCTATAAAAACATATCTATTTTTCGTCTATTATTCTTAAATATGAAATTTGAGAAAAATTCTCATTGAATATAAAGTAACGGAACGAATATATGATAAGAATAGAAGATTGCTTACGAAGACTCGACCGTATGGTTTGTGAGCAGGAATTCCTTCATTTTCTTGAGATCAGCTTTTGTTGGCTTCGTCTGAATGGGTGTTCCGCTGACTCGGATCTGAACGGAAGAGATGCCGTCTTTCACTTCGCTTATATCGATCTTAATGTCAGATTCGGTGATATCTTTGACATTAGAGTTGACTCTTTGGTCGTAATCGGTTTGGTGTGATGTTTGGTCATCGAAATGGTTGGGCGTTGCGGTGGATGAGTCGGAATAGGAGTCCATTTCCTGGATGTGGTCGAGTATATCGACGCCGCACTGTTCGCACTCAGAGCTGCCGACACTTAACGGCACAGAACCAGTGCTACTGAAACCACTGGAACTGTACACCGATTCCGCGGACAAGCATTTATTGAAGTGTTTGTTACATAAAATGCGTTCGCAATGCGAGGGAATTGATTTGTTGGCCGACTGTTGGCCGTAATTCCACGACAACCTCTTGTGTATCGACGAGTCCTTCTCTTTCTTCATGTGTTCAATAGAGTCCGCCGTATGGTATCGGCGCTCAGCCCCTCTACCCGTCCTCTTCTGATTGGTGCGACTCTTGAGCGCTTCCGGGTCTTCAAAGTTCACTTCGATTGTGGTGTCGATTGATTCATCAGATTTGGATGATTTGTGTACTAAACTATCGATAATTGCATCGGTATTGAGATTATGTACAGGCGATGGGCCTTCACTGGCCGGAGCCGATTGGGTCAGAAAACCCGATATGTTCTTAGTTTTGATGAGCGGCGGCTTATTTGCATTCAATGCTAGGGAACGGCTCAGTATTGTGGGTGATGTCGGACGCGGTGGTAATGAGCGGACAGTGGATGGAGTGATGTGTTTGGTTGGCGAGGAATGAACGGGTATTTGAATGGATGGCATAGATGGAGGAGATTTGAGACTTTGCTTGTAATCACTGATTGGATGATAACCTAATGGCACGTTCACTGATAAAGTGTTGGGATATAGACTGTACTGATGGGGGACTGTAGGGCTGTTATTCTTGACGTTTCTAAGCAAAAAAGCTCGCCTTTCCGGTCGCGGAGATGTGACGGTCACTATTGGCGACCGATTGTCTACACTATTGGATCGACCGAAAGAGTCCGAGTCCTCGACAGTGAGACTTGGGTTCCGGAGTTCTCCCAATTCAAAGCTGACGGCTCGGGGCGGTTGGTGTGCATAATAATCGGGGTTTTGCAAGTAGTGGTTAGGAGTGGTTACCGGCGCTATCACTGCCAATGAAGTGCTGGACTGAGTGGCGTCACTCATGTCCACAGAACCGCTATGAGAGTGAACGAGACTCGAACGGCTCGAACTGCGGGGCGAGTGTCGCGACGCCGCCAACAGTGCCATCGATGGGTAGTCATAGTCCTCGTCGTCCTCCAGAGTGCGAAGATATGTCACTTCCTGTGCCTCCGAAACGATCGAAATGTTTTTGGTATGTCTATAGAGATCCTGAGCTTTTTTAATGTAATCAATCCATGTCTTGGTGTCACTCGAGTAGAGTAAGAGTAAAGCGTTGGCGACTCTAAACTCATTCAAATACAAGAGCACAAAACCGGTGCCGTCTTTCAGCTCCTGAGTGACGACTCTATCAATTATGAATGGCTGACGAATTACTCTCACTTTATCGCCGCTCCTCTTATTCACTGATTTGCATATCAGGAGTAAATCAGTGAACAGAAAACAGTGAACGTCTAGTTTGCTGGCGAGTGAGTCCTTCAGTTTCAGCGATCCCTCCACTAATAGATGTCGAATGAAATGAGGAGAACAGCCATTCATTGGTTGCGTTAAATCCAAATGAATGTATTCTTTCAGCAACTTTATAATGGATAGCAAATGCAACGCAAGAAGAGAAAAAACATACCATTTATTGTCAATTATTCAAATGGGATCTCAATGTATGTGAATGCGAGTGAATGTTTGCATAAAGTGATAGTATGTTAGGTTTGGTTACCTTTTCTGCCTCATCGTTGTTGCAATCGATGACATCGTAGCTCTCGATTCTGGACACTATAGACGACAACTTTTGCTGTTCGTGTTGTCGCCGAAGAGTGGCATCAACTCCATAGACGAAACGCTCCACACATTCGTTCTGTTGCCACAAATAGCAATGCATTTCAAATTTAATGCAACTTATATTACTAAATAAACTTATATTCCGAGCCATATATCAAACATTATGTATTAAATTCAGTGAATGTCATCAATATATAGAACTTAATATATTCTTAGATTCTGTTATTTATTCAGTTTTTTCGTGTGTAAAATATATGAGAAACGAAAATAATTTCAAAACAAATTTTAAATTCACGGATAAATGAAAAGTTTAGATAAATTAAAATGTTATTAAAAATAAAGGTCAAGAATTTTGTAGTTATTTTATAGTGAGGTTTAGAAAAAGTTAATATAAATATAAGTTTAATGATAATATGAAAATACCATTCTCTTTAAGGCAGCCTTTTGTTCCTCGGAATCTGTTTTCTTGAGTATAGCCTTAAGAAGTAATGAATATTTAGTTAAGCGTTGCATAGGTTTCACTAATAAGTCCATAAGACGTAATCTCTCGCAATCCTTATGCGTTTCGCACCACTATTTTGGCGATGAGTTTCGTATAACAGATAATGTATGGAAAAATGTTTTGCAATCATTAATAATAATATTTTGACAATAATTATGTGACACCTCTCTCTCTCTCTCTCTCTCTCTCTCTCTCTCTCTCTCTTTCTCGGAATGAGCTGTAAATCAAGTATTGGTTTTTAAACAAAAATTATATTTTCTTTCTGTTTCTTTTTCTCACCGATTCTTTCACTACAGACTTTATTTGAGGGCAAGAACTCACTGTAAGACTGAGANCTCTCTCTCTCTCTCTCTCTCTCTCTCTCTTTCTTTTTTTGTATTTCTATAACGAACCACAATATATGCTTTGAAGAGCTCATTATCCTTGTGTTTGTCCTTAACGTACTGAAGACAAGTGCTGTGTTCTAAGCAATACTTGACGTATGGATGGAATAACTGATCAAACTGTGGATCAAATAGACAGACATTATTATAATATTCACATTATGAATGATATATTGATAAATGAGACGATATTGTCATTGATTTCTAATTAATTTTGTGTGCATTTGTTGTGTGTGTTTCTAATCGGGGAATGAATGGGAAAAAGTGGAGCAAACAATGACTTACGAGAAGAAAGCCGTCTTTCATGAGCATTGGATTCAATGGGCGATGAGTTTGTCGGCTGTGACTCAACATAGGAAGCAAGTGCTCGAACCAGAACTCATGGTTAGCAGCACTCACTTCCACTATATTGCTGAACATCTTTGTCGTATCGATCTGTCAATCAATCATCAAATCATTACAAATGCGATATTAGTTCCCAGAAATGGACTTTTCCTAAAGAATTAGACTATAATATGCTCTACAATTCAGTGGAGACCACTTCTACCAGTCGTTAATCAAACCAAATGTTTTCGCATTCAAAATATCGAGTAAAACTTTTTTGTTTGATATATAATGTTCCCCACATTATATATAATATCATAAAAAAAGTCATTTGTTTTGTGACACTGTATGAAAGCAAGTAAAACCTCTGTTTTCTTTATTTCCGTTTGCGTTGATATACGTTAGAAATAATGATAATTATATTTTTGTACCAAAACTTGCGCTTCTCTAACACATACCCGACATATGGATTAAGTAATACCTGTGAGGCATTGGTTTTGCGTCAATGTCTTATCGACTCGACAATTGTATTCAATAGAAATATAAAGTTATATTATATAACACATTATTATTATTAGTCATTTGGTGTGAATCCATGTGTTGTGTAAATCAATAAATATAACTAAACTTAAAGCTTCAATGCAAACAAAACGACCGCATTATAACATTTCATTATTAAACGATATATTTTGCTCTTTAATTAATTTTTGAAACAAGAAAACGACCACTAATTAGGTTTTCACTATCTATGCATATCTATACTATAATATCATTCAATTCCTATCACACTATACCGCCAATTGAGTGGTGAGTTGTGTGCCCCGGAACTGAGGAGTGGCCACCTGTACGGGTATTAACTGTATAGTTGCCGGCCCTTGAGATGTATGGATTGTGGTGGCGATGTGTTGCTGCGCTAAACTAGCGTTCACCACATTGTTTGCATTGACACTACGGCTGCCGCGACCACCGCTACCGGTGCTCGGATTCGTGTGAATACGTCTGTGACGGCCTGTCATTCAATGCAAGAAACAACAGTTTATAGCAATCGCTTCTAATGGATGCAAACAAATGCAGCAATAATTTACTCAATTTGTCCTTTCGGTAGAAACCGCGGCCACAGTATTCGCATGGATAGGGACGCTCTCCCGTGTGAATCATTTGATGCCTTCGGAGGTGGTTTTTCTGCGAGAAGGATCGGCCGCAGACATCGCAATGGAATGGCTTATCCCCTAATCGATAGTATGACAACAATTATGGTTAACAACTGACACACAGATTGTGCAGATGGGCGATGAGTACCGGTATGTGTGCGCATGTGATCCAGTAGTTTGCATCGATAGGAGAAGCCGGAGCCGCATATCTCACACGAGCAGGACTTCTCTCCGTGAGCGACCCTCACGTGGATCCGTACCC